CAAAAGCAGCTGGCAGCGGTTTTGCTCAGGTCAAGTCGTACATGAATGGACTACGAGTTCCTTTCAATCAGCATTTCAAGGTTTTCGTCGTCAGAGTGGTTGGACTGGCGTTTGGAATAGCTGCTGGTTTAGCAATTGGACAGGTATAAACGGTCATCAACTCATCATTAAAACCAAAATAATCGCGTGGGCCACGAATGTCATGAAATTTAAATTTTTTTGAAAATAATGACTAGGAAAGATGCAGTACAGTATTTTAATAGGAAAGAGGAAAATCCATCATCATCAGAGCAATTGCCGATTTCCGGGTCACGAATAGAGATTAGCAACAGTTTTCGCCTTTCCGGCCCAGAAAAAGAATTATTTCAGCCATCTGCAATTTAATCGTATGTTTTCTCACGCGCCGAAAATTTGCGGTTTTTTCTAATTTTACATTAGTTTACCTCCCTTTGTCAAAAAGTGTCGACTATGACATTTTGGCCAGGTGAAAATTACATTGATCCTGGCACTGAGCAGGTGAACACAAAGAGTATTTTAGGCACGCGACAAAATAAGTTTTGCAACGTTCTCAGCTTTTTCAAACAACATAAAATTCATTTCAGCTGATCACTGAAGTATCGTATTTCAAAAGCTTTTTTTTTTTGGCAAGCCAAAAAATTTTAAATTGCTCAGATGATGAAAGGATATCATTTGTCTCATCTGACATGATTCAATTTTAAATTGGCGACATTCTATGAATTTCAAGTTCAAGAGTTTCAGAAATATTGTTCACAAATTTCCGAGCTTTCAATAGCAAGTGAATACTGTACAGTACTGTATAACGAAAATATTGTACCTCAATCAAGTTGAATCTTGACCAAAATCAATACCGTACTGTATTTACTCAAGTACCTTGCGCATATATTTTCCGAAGTTCGGAGCAAAAAGCAGAATGCATTTAGCAGGCAGATAAACAATTGAAATTTTGAAAAGAAATGCAGAGGTTTTACAGGTAAGAAAGTCACTTGGTTAGGTTCTAAATCTTGAGCATTTTTCTGAGATAAATTAATTTAAAATAATTAAATCATTCATTTAAAATAACATGGCGGATTAAATAAGCTAATAAATATGAATCTTCAAAAATCAAGAATTAGAATTAAATTCCAGGTCTAAATTCAACTTTTACCTAGTTGATTTCTACAATGCAGTGAAATTTTCAGCGACTCAAAAGCGGGATGCGCTTCTTCATCAGACACACACTTATTTCAAAATTTTAGGCCAAAAATTAAATTGCGCTTCACATTCGAGGGCGCGTGGAACAATTACCCAAGTGAATACGAAAAGTCGCTGTTTCGGAAAATTATAATCATGGATAATCTTTAGGAAGGCCCCATGATCCATGTCGGGGCTTCAATCGGTGCCGGAGTGGGATACGGAAGACACAGTTTCTTGTACGAAAAACTGAAAGTTCAAATGCCCGGTACGAGACTTTTGCGGTACGACAAGGACAGAAGGTTCTTCACTTCAATGGGTGCAGCTGCTGGACTCGCCTGTGCTTTCGGCTCACCCTTAGGTAACTTTTCAAAAATGCAATGTTGCAAATAAAAATTATAAAATGTACATAAATTCCATCAAAAATTGCGTCTCGACCAAGACCGAAAATAATCCAGCATCATTTCGACCAGGTGGGCTTTTGTTCATGATGGAAGAAGGAGCGAACTTTTGGAAATTTTCCCTCACGTTCAAGGCCTTCAGCTGTTGCGTCCTGACAGTGCTCTTCTACAATGTCATCATGACTCGCTACGAGATGTCGGATTCGAAAAGTTTGCACGTCATCGGGATCTTGAACCTGGGCACATTTCCGGGGATCCATTTCTCTTTCGTAGACATACTAGTTTGTATCGTGCTCGGTGCACTCGGCGGGGTTATCGGGGCAACTTATA